GGAGTCCCGGCCTAGCCCCGCACCAAGTGGGCAGCCCACTGCAGGGCGTGGCGGTGACTGGACGGTGTCACCATGAGCTGGTCTCTCAGTCACCTTCGTCTCGAGAGCCCAGTCTGGACAGGCCTCCTGCCCAAAGGGGATCAGGTGCTTGGGGATGTCCACCTGGAAGATGTCCTTCACGGCCCTCCCTGGGATGGGTTGCAGCAGACAGAAGGGTTTGGCAAGCGCAGTCATGTACTTCCATCACAGGTCCAGCAGCAGGGCTTGACTCTCCCGCTCCTTCACCTCGTCGGGACCTAGGTTTTCTGGGCACAGCAAAGTGTCCCCAGTGTCCACGAGACCTGTGTGCAAAGACAGGACACAGAAGGAGGACAAGGTGATTCAAAGTCACGCCTACCGGAGACTAAGACCGCATTACCGAAGGGAACCTGGGTGAATTGGATCCTCTGGCTGAGCATTTCAGAAAGGCTCACCTCTGCAAAGGGAATTTGGGGCGAGGTCAAATGAGGGAGAGAGCTAAATGAAAGGGAGAGGTCTGGTGCTCCATGAACCCACCAGGCCATGGGCAGCTCTCAGTCTGACCACTGCAGGCCACAGGGTCAGAGAAGGAGGGCCCCGGTGGGGAATGTGCAGACATCAGGTCCCCAAGTGATTCACCATCAGACAGGTATTGCTGTGGGGCCTCACCCCTGGGGAGTCAGGGAACTTGCTCAGGCCCTGCTGCAGGCAGTGGGGATGGGGAACCCAGGCTGGGTGCTGTGGTGCCTCTTATGGTCTCTGCCGGGCACACACACACACACACACGTACACACACAGAGACAAGTGCCACATGCAGACCTAGATCTGGGCGAGACTCATCCCCAGCCTCTGCTCCAGTAGCTCCCGCCAGGCTGTGTACTTCCAATCCGGTGTCTGATGTGGATGGCCAGGGTACAGCGCCGGGTCCGCATAGCACAGAACGCCACCACGTCTCCAGGGCCTTAACACCATTTAAGAAGAAACCCGGGTGAGGCTTTCAGAAGGACAGACAGCAGAACTTCATCTCCCAGGGCTCCCAAGGCTTCACGTGGCTGTGGAAACACAGAACCACAAAGGCCAGGAGCCTGACACAGTGGCCTCCAAGCTCACAGCCCTGGGCCAGACATCAGCCCCATGTGTCCGAGCATCCTCCAAGTCTGCTGACACAGAGGGGAGTGTCAGAGAGCTGGCTCCTTCCATCTGTTTCCACGTGGTCCGCCGACAGGGAGTGGCGACCCAGAGGACCCGGGAATCACATGCAGTCTGTGGGGAGGTCAGGAAGAGAGGGAGTGAGGCACGAGGTGAGTTCCAAGACAGAGGGACTCAAAAGCCTGGGAGCACTGAGGAGGGAGGGCGGGTCCCCTGGCTTCACAGCCCAGTGGCCGGGCTCTGGTCCTCTCCCAGCACAGACAGGCACAGTCCTGGGCTTTGTTTCCCCCACTCCCGGCCCCCACCCCACCCCTCAGCTCCCCAGCCCCATCCCTGCCCATGCTCTGCAGATCCCCCATCTTAGCACAGGGCTGCTGCATGTGCAGATCCGTGCTTACCAATCTGGCCTCAACCCTGGGGCCGCCCTTGACCTCAGACGGCCCTGCCAGGTGTCTTCTCCACACCTTTGGGAGCCACCTTCGACCCAGCCCTTCCCACACCACTGCCTCCCCTGTCAACCAGATGCCCTGGCCCCTGCCCAGAGCCTAGAGAAAGAACGGAGAGCAAGAACTACTGGGACAGGTGTGCTCCGTGTCCTTGCCAGGGCCTGGGATGGCACCATGAAGGGATCACAGAATTCAAACTTCAAATAACCCGCTAGGCTACTGTCACCTCGCTTGGCCACTGAAGAGGAGCCGAGGGATAGAGAGATAGCCCATGACTGCAGGGGATCTGACCACACGCACCTCCATTCTCACTTCTTTCCTTGTACCTAGAGGGGGCGGTCCCTGTTTCCTGAAGGAAGTGGAGGCACAGGATCAGAGCCGCGGGCCTGAACCTCAGCAGTGGCTCAGCACCTCGCAGGGAACCTCCATTTCCACATGGCTTTGAGGACTGGGACAAGGTCCCAGAGACACCCAGCTCGGGGCCTTCTGGGCCTTTCCTTCCCCGAACCCAGCAGAGCCACAGTTCTCACAGGCCCACAGGCCCAACGTGATCTGGCTCCTACCCTGGTGGCCTGCTCTCCTCACCCCTGGATTCACCCCTGGTAGCTATGAAGGCCATTCTTCCATCCTTAGAACATTCCAGTGTGTTCCTACCTCAGAGCCTTTGTAAGGTGTGAGGAGTGACATCGTGCCCCCTCAGAGTCAGGTGCTGGAGTCTCAATCCCAAGTACCTTGGCATGACCTTACAGACAAAAGAAAGGTCTTCACAGAGCTGATGGAGTTCAAGTGAGCTCATTAGGATGGACCCTCCTCTAACAGGACAGCTCTCCCCATACAAAGGACACATTTAGAGGCAGACAGATACAGAGGAGAACTCCAGGTGAAGAGGAAGGCGGAGCTCTCCAAGCCCAGACATGCCCACCATGGCCAGCAAAGCCCTGGAAGTGAGGTGGGAAAGATGGGACAGACTCTCCACATCCCTCATGAAAACCAACGTCAGTCGACACCTCGACCTCGGCTCTCGGCCTCCTGAACCAACACAGTTTGTAGTTAGAGCCATGCAGCTTGTGTGACCCTGACACAAAACTCTTTCTCCAAAAAAGACCCTATCTCCAAAGACGACATAGATGGCCAACAGGCACATGAAAAGAAGCTCAACATTCCTAGTTATTAGACAAATGCAAATCAACACTCCAATGAAGTATTACCTTAACATTGGTCAGAATGTCCATCATCAAAAAACCTATGAAGAATAAATGCTGGATAGTGTGCAGAGAAAAGGGAATCCGTGTACACTGTTGGTGAAATGTAAATTGGTGGAGTCAATAGGAAGAACAGTATGGAGGATCTTTAAACAGCTACAAACAGAACTACCAGATGAGCCAGCAACCCCACTCCTAAATATATACCTGGAAAAGACAGAAACTTCAATATGAAAAGATACATGCACCCCAATGTTCATTGCAGCACTATTTACAGCAGACAAGATATGGAAGAAACCCAAATGTCCATCAACAGATGACTGGATAAATAAGATGTGGTTTGCGCACACACAGACACACACACACACACACACACACACACACACACAGAGGAATACTTCTCAGCCATGAAAAATAATGAAGAAATACCATCTACGGCAACATAGATGGACCTAGAGATTATCATATTAAGTGAAGTAAGTCAGAAAGAGAAAGACAAATATTCTATGGTATCACCTATATGTGGAATCTAAAAAGATGATACAAATAAAACTATTTACAAAGCAGAAACAGACTCAGATAACAAACTTATGGTTACCAAAGAGGAAAAGCAGGGGAAGGGATAAATTAGGAGTTTGAGATTAACAGATACACATGACTATGTATAAAATAGTACTACTGTGGTGCTGGGGAAGACTCTTGAAAGTACCTTGGACAGCAAGGAGATCAAGCCGGCCCATCCTAAAGGAAATCAACTGTGACTATCCACTGGAAGGACTGATGCTAAAGCTGGTCACCTGATGGGAAAAGCTGACTCACCTGGGCTCTGTCCTCTCCGCCCCTGAGTCCCTGCTCCTCACACCAGGTCCCCAATCTCCCAGAGACCGGGATGTCAGGAAGTCAGGACAGGTCTAGTGTGTTCTTCTCACCCCAGGGGCGCCCAGGGCTGACGACAGAGGCGGGAATCTGTGGGGTCCCTTCAGTCCTCCTCAGGGACCTCATCTTGTCTCTGGGTAGGTCTTCGGATTCTCTCCTCTCCCCTAATAGGCCCCCAGCCCTTAAACCAGGACTCCAGTCTCTCTGAGATCCAGATGTCAGGAAGCCTGCTCCCTATACCAGGACCCCAGTCTGAACCCCGTATGTTAGGAAGCCAGCTGCCTATACCAGGTCCCCAGTTTGAGGCTGGATGTCAGGAAGTCAGCCCCCTATACCAGGTCCCCAGTCTCCCTGAGACCTGGATGTCAGGAAATGCAGCATATGTTCATCCGCCCTATGTCCTCCCAGAGCCCACTCTGCTCTGGGGTTCAGGGTCCCCTCAGTCCTCCCTCAGCATTCTCACCTTGACCCTCAAAAGAACTAAGATCTTCCCCTCTGCCCATCTGAGGCCCTGCCCCTTCTGACAGTTGCCTAATGTATCTGAGACACAGATGCGGAAGTCAGAACAGGCTGCCAAGTGCTCATCCCACCACCAGGGTGGCCCAGGGCTGACAGCAGGGGTAGGGATCTGTGGGGTTCCTTATATCCTCCCTCAGGGACCTCATCTTGAGCCCTGGCAGATCCGGGGATGCCCCTTGTGTTGACCAGAGGCAGGACCCTCACATCAAGGCTCAGGGAGCACAGAGGGTGGATGAGCACATGCTGCATTACCTGGCATCCAGGTCTCAGAGAAACTGGGGACCTGGGAGAGGGGGCGTGTCCTCAGGTGAGCAGAGGGAAGAAGCCCAGCTCCCGTGGAGTTTCAATTTGGGGACTATGAGGGAGGACTGAGCGGACCCTGATCCCAATCAAAAGAGACCTCAGAGAAGCCTGTAGCTGCTGTTGGTCCTTGGCGGCCGTGGGGTAGGATGAGCCCAACGTGCGCGGTCTCACTTCCTCACATCCGGATCTCAGACTGGGGACCTGGTACGGGGGCTGACTTCCCGACATCCGGGTCTCAGACTGGGTACCTTGCATATGGGGCGGGGCCTCAGGTGGTCCAATTCCCAGGTCCGGCAGGGTGTCAGGGTGAGGACCCTGAGGAGGAGAACTAGAGGACCCTGGACCCCGATCAGAGGACACCTCAGAGAAGCTCGTTTCTGTTGTCAGTCCAGGGCAACCGTGGGGGTTGAATGAGCGCAGCAGGCAAGGTCTGACTTCCTGACATCCGGGTCTTCCTGACCCGGCCCGGGTATAAGGGGCAGGGCTTCAGTTGGGGAGAGGCGAGAATCCCAGGTCCTGCTCGAGGCAAGGTGAGGTGCCTGAAGGAGGGCTGAGGGGACCCTGCGTGAGGACCAAACGAACCCCACAGATCCCCGATCCCGTAGTCGGCCCTGGGAGTCCTTGGGGTGAGAAGAGCACACTCGGCCTGTCTGCCTTCCTCACATGTGGGTCTCAGAGAGACTGGGGACCTCGTGAAAGCGGCAGGGTCTCAAAATGGCGGACGGGACAATTCCCAGTCCTGCTTGGAGTCCAGGCTCCATGTGAGGATGGACTGAGGCAGATAGACCCCAACAGGGAGGCAGGGATCCTGGCCCTTGTGGGGACTTTTGGAGGCCCTAGAGCGGGGTGAGCAGGATGAGCAGTTTCTTGACCTCTGGCTTAGGGACCTCAGGAAGTGAGGTTTTTCAGGCAGAGGGCAGAGGCTCTAGGTTGACAGAGGCTGGACTCCCCAAACCCGAGGGAGGACTGAGCAGACCCCCGCCCCTGTGGTCAGGGCTGGGAGGCCAGGCAGGGCGTGAGGAGGAGCTGAGGACCGAGCAGCTCCCCAGTCTAGGACACCTGCAGGAAGCCCTGGGCAGGTGCGGCCGCATGTGGGGCCCCTCAACACTTTCTATTCAGGCTCGGATCTTGTTCTGAATTTCCAGGTGGGTCCTCAGAGGGGAGGGACCAGGTCGTGCCAGCGGAAAGGTGAGCACTACAAGGGAGCCCTGAGGGGACCTCCCACCACACAGCTGGGGAGACCGCACAGAGTCCACCCCTCGTATTGTCACGGAAGGCTCAGGGCTGTGCCACAGGATACCCCCGAGGTGCCCCCTCCCTTTCTCTCACAGGAGCTCCAGGAACCAGGAGGCGAAAGCAGAGGACTGGTGCTCGTGTCCTAAGGGCAGAGAGCAGAGTCCAGGCAATACCAGGAGTCAAGGTGAGGAGGGTTCCCTGAGTGTGCACCAGGGGCTCCCCATCCCAGAACAGTGGGGACCCCACAAGGGCATAATCCCCCACCTTGTCAGCCCCAGTCTGTGCTGGGGCTGCACGCCGGGGAGCCTCCTTCAGGTGTCCGGGGGACTGGCTGTCCCAAACAAAGGCTTGCCCCTATGAGGTCTGAGAGCACCCCTCAAGAAGAGACCTGTAAGTGGCCTGTGTCAGACCGCCCAGCGTGTGGTTCTCAGCTGAGGCCATTCACAACCCCTCTTTCCTCCAGCCAGGCTGGTTGTCCCCGTCTGACCCCTGCCTCACTCCTGGCTGTGGTTTGATCCCAGGCATCCCGCTCGTGGTCGAGATGAGTGAGCTGAGCAAGCCCGAGGAAGACCACCTTCAGGACCCAGGGGAGGCCCAGGGCCCGGAGGAGGCGCAGCTCTTGGGGGCTGAGGTGGGGGATGCTGCATCCGCCTCGGCTTCTTCCCCCAAAGTGTCCTCCTTAGCCACTGGGGAGTCCTTGTCCCAGGAAGCTCTGAAGCAGATGATAACTACGCTGATGAAGTTCCTGCTCTTCAAGTATCGAGCCAAGCAGCTGACCTCCCAGGCGGAAATCCTGAAGAAGGTCCTCTGGGATAACCAGGAGTACTTCCCTGTGGTCTTCAGCCAAGCCTCGAAGAACCTGCAGCTGGTCTGTGGCATGGAGGTGAAGGAGGTGGACCCCAGGGAGCACACCTACACCATGGTCCCCATCCTGGGCCTCACCTGTGATGAGATGCCGAGCAGTGGGCAGCGCATGCCCAAAGCTGGCCTCCTGGCAGTGGTCCTCAGCCTGATCATGTGGGGTGGAGACCGTGCCCCTGAGGAGAAGGTCTGGGGAGCACTCAGCAAATTGGGTATGTCACGGGGGAGCGTGCACTGTGTCTTTGGGGAGCCCAGGACCCTTCTGACCCATGTGTGGGTGCAGCAGGGGTACCTGGAGTACCAGCAGGTGCCTTACAGCCGCCCTGCTTGCTATGAGTTCCTGTGGGGTCCCCGGGCCTATGCGGAGACCAACAAGCGGGAAGTCTTGGCGTTTCTGCTCAGGTCCAAACAAAGGACTTGGAGGGCCTTCCCACGGCAGTCTGCAGAGGCTTTGAGGGAGGAGGCTGAGGAGGCCTGAGCCAGAGCTGCAGCCAGGCTGATCCTTCCTTCTGTGATTGAAGAGGGAGCGGTCAGCCTTCTCAGAAGTGATGGCCCGAGCCAGTTGGGGAAACTGGTGTATAGCATCTTTGGGTTCCTGTTCTCTACGGTGACATGGAGAATCATCACTGTTTTCCTTAGAAAATTTTCAAACTTTCATGGTTTCCACAGAAGGCTAAATAAACTTCAGTGTGTTAGCTTTGTGAATGATGTTGATCAGTGTGTTTGTACTTACTCAGTTCAAGAACAAGAGTTTTGCTGTTTGTAAAAGAGATTGGAAACTCTTCCATTGTGTTTTGTGGTCCTGAACTGGATGCAGTGGAATTGGAATTAGAACTGTTCTGGAAAAGTGAGCTTACTTAGCAGTAATATTGATGGGGGAAGAATTAGCTGATAAAAGTAATCGTAGTGAATTCATGTTTCTGTCCTTCTTGTGTGTCATTTTCAAAAACTAAATTATCTCTTGTTCATTTGGATTTGTCTGGCTTATTTAAGGAAGTAGCAGATAATTAATTGGGCCCCCTGCTCACTGGCTCATGTATTCCAAAGACCTTTATGGAGCCTCTGCTCCGTGAAAGCCTGGGTTAGCAGTGGGGACCCTAGGAGAAGCTGGACACCCCCACACCTTGAGCAATGCTCTAGGAGTCGTAGTCACACAAAGAAGTTGGAGAGACGTTCCCTAGTCGCACTGAACAGGGCAACACAGGTTGGGGCGGTGGGGCTCCAGGAGGAGCACTGGAGTGTCAGTGTCTGAGCCAGGGCGTTCTGAGGCTTTGGGAAGCTGGGTTCCTTCTGTGGGATGTGATCATGATGAGGCTGTGTGGTGACATCCCTCAGACTTGCAAACATTGTTTCTTGGGAGTGACGGGAAAGTCTGAAATGGATGATTGCTCTGAGGTGTCCTTTTGCATCTTGGATAAAACACAGAGAGGTGTCTTTCTGGGGCAGGAAGGAAGGGGTCCTGGCTGTTGTTGCACAGCTGTTGACCACAGGAGCAAAGGAGGTGTTTTCTACCATACCCCCACCATCTGCTTGGAATCCTGGAGAAATGCGAATGTTGCTTTGAAGTGTGGCTCAGTATTCCCTGGACTGGCCCTCCTCTCTCTGTCCTGGGAAAGCTGATTACCAAGTATATTGAAATGACTATTTATTTGGTCATCTGGACTTTATTTTGTCCACTTGTAAGCATGGTCTAGATTTCAGTGGGATGAAATGAGTGAAGAGAAGCTGCTAAGTGGACAAGACCTGCTGGGTGACTGGTTCCTGGGAACTTTGAGTCCCAGCTGGGAAAGACACTGCTCCCCACCCCGAAACACACACAAACACCCAAATTGAATAATATATCCTCTAGGAGGAAAACACACAGAGCAGCAATTTTGACTTGTTTTCTATTCCGTTTCCTATTGGGCTGCCAATTCTCTGAGGTGTCTTGAAGACAAAACGATTTCCAGAGGAGAGAGGGACAGAGTCTGAGATCCGAATAATATGAGAAATAAGTACTAGCCAGGAAAGATGCAACATCCAACAGCGTCCCCGGGATCAGGCAGGTTCAGAAGAGTGGAGGCAGCGGAGACTCACAGGGTAACGCTGTGCCTGGCATCAAAAGGCAGGAGCGACTTCCAGGCCTAAGGAAGTGGTGAGGTCACTGCAGTGGGGGGTGCGGACGGGTGCAGGGGGCTGAAGGGGCAGCTATCCCTGCTGAGTGCCAGAGAACAATGGGAACAGGAGATGTGATTCTGGCCACGTATGCAGCAGCTGTCACATAGTCAGTGGACACTTGGAAAAGGTGGAGAATTTCAAGACCCATGTGACCTGCTCAGACTTTCTTCCCCAAAACAAAGATTTTGTCGTTATAAATTCTAACCACTGCTCTTTGTTGACCATCTGCTAGGCAGTGCAGAATTGGAGAGACGTCAGGTACTCCGCCACCTCTTGTCCACCTCTCTCCCTGCACACATGGGGACGCGACCCTGCCAGGTCTCTTCACTTAGGAAGGGTGATGTGATGACCCGTGACCAGTGAATTTTGAGCAGAAGCATTGTTGTCACGACCATTTCTTTTGAAGGGACACACCCGCCCGGCGGGGAGGTTAATCCTCAGGCAGCACACCACACAGGCACAGACCACTCTGAGTATGGTTCCTCTCCCAGAGACAAAAGTCCAGCACCTCTGAACCTTAAGAGAGGCTGCCCCACAGGAATTCCACCCACCCTCAACACAGACCCACAGCCTGTCCCCTCCCACCGTGAGCTGCACTGTCAGCCCCCTCAGGGCTCTGCTCAGTCTCCATCAGGCCAGCAGCCAGCTGCCAAAGGCCCCTGTTGGGGTTGGGGGCATCCTCCTCATGGGGCCTAGCCCCGAGGCTACCCACCCCTCCTGCCTAAAGCTCCACCTCGCCCCCAAAACCTGACCTAGGGTTTTGTCCTGCCTGTCCGCCACCCCCCACCCCACCATTGAGAGTGGATTAGGCCCTGGTCCTGATGACCTCATGTGTGTATCTTTATCTGGAAGTCCCAGAGCAGCATCTCCTTCCACGGTGCTTCAGGTGGAGCCGACGGGACTCGACAGCCGCTGGGTGAGTCTCCTCGTGGTGCGTCAGTAGTAACTTAACCATTGCCATGGAAGTGCGGGACACATCTCTATGATCCCGAGGTGTATCAGACCATTCCCTGTGGAATCCCACGTGTTCGAGTAAACTCAGGGTCCTGTGAATGTGACTGTGAGGTCCTGGCTTTTGACCTGAGTATGAGAGGCAGAGGGGTGTTTGATCAGTCATCCATGCAGCCTGCTAACCTTGGTGTCCCCAGTCAGGCTGCTTGAGCAGAGAGCAGTCTCTAGCAGATGCCTGGGAGGACGCTCTGCCAGGCACCAGAGGCTCCAGACTCCAATGAGGATTAGGAAAGGAGCCAGGCAGGAGAGGACTCGGGGATCCCAGGGGTGCAGGCTGCAAAGAGGGTCGGCCGCCCCAGAGAAGTGGAAGCAGCAAGCCCCTGGAGATCCCATCAGACTTGCCCGGGGCTGGCCAGGAGAGGGAGTGGGGAGCAAATGCCTCTGCAGGTGAGCTGCTGCCCCGGCCTCCATGAGGACGTCTGTGCTCTGGGGCCAAGGCCAGGACCACAGCCCAAGGGGGCAGTCCATGAAGGATACATGGCAGCTCTCTTAACAGGTACTCCTCTTGCCCTTCAATGGATATGACTGTTAGGTGTGGTTGGGTTCTTGCTCTGGGTACATAAGTACCTCAGGCCTCTGGCTGCTAGGAGGCCCAAACTGCCCCCTGCCCCCACCGACTTTTCTGGAGGTCATTTCCAGGATCCAGCATCTTTAGCAGCAGCTTCTGTGTGGACAGACACCACCCTGTTCCCAAGCTGATCTTGCCCAGGGCATCACAGATTGGACAGGCATCTCCCCTGGGTTAAGGACTCTCAGCGAATGTTCTGTTCCTCTGAGAAGTCCGTGTGTTTCCTAATGGCTTCCCTGGAGGTTCAGTGTTAAAAGAATCTGCCTGCAATGTGGGAGACTCAAGTTCGATCCCTGGGTGGGAAGATACTCTAGAGGAGGAAATGGCATCCCACTCCACTCTTCTTGCCTGGGAATTCCCATCGACAGAGGAGCCTGGAGGAGGGGGGAGGGGCGGTGTTACAGTCTATGGGTTCGCAATGAGTCGGACACATCTGATCAACTGAGCACTCACACGTACGCACAGCTAAAGGTTTGCTCTGGACCCTTGTATCTTTGGCAAGACACTGATCCCTGCCTGAATCTTGACAGACTTCTTCTGTGGCAAATAACACTGGCAGACGTCTTAAAGTGGTTTTTGCCCAAGTACAGGGTTCCAGGTCTATACCTGGCCTCGGTTGGTGGCTCTTGCCATATCCAGGCAAAACATCCATGAGTTTGGATCAGGGCAGTGTTTGTGGGGCTAGAGAAAAAAGTGGATCCAGAGATGTTTCCGTGTTGGAAGAGGCCCGGTTAGTATATTATATGGGATTGGAGGTTAAGGGAGAGCAAAAGTTGAAGTAGCAAGAGTTGTTTCACACTTACAGGTTCTGTATGCTTGTGTTTGGTTTCCTTTCTATTTCCTTTTTAACATACTCAGCATGTTTTGCCCAAAGTTTCCTTGCCTTTTTATTTTGAAAATAGACTTCATTTTCACCTTTTCCTTTGTAACCCTTTTAACCCTTGTAACCTTTTAAGATTTGAAAAAAAAAATGTGAAAATAGCAGAAATCTCTTATGCCCCTCACCCAGTCTCCCCTATTCCTAATATCCTACATTAATATGATACATTTATTACAATTAACGAGGAAGTATTGATGCATTATATATTATCAACCAAGCCCATACTTTACTCAGGTTTCTGTAGGTTTTACCCACTCCCAGATCCTGGCCAGGAAACTACCCTAACCTTTAGTTGTAATGTCTCCTTGGGTTCCTCTTAGCTTTAACATTTCTTTGTTGTGGATGATCTTGAGAGTTTTGAGGAGTACTCAGTAGATGTTTTCTACAATGTCCCTTGACGGGGATTTGTCTGATATTTTACTTGTACCTAGTCTGGGATTATGAGTTTGGGGGAGGTAGATGACAGATGTAAAATCCCATTCTCATCACATTGTATCAAGTGTATATACTATTAGCGCAATTGATCACTGATGATGCTCTCATTGAGGTATCATGCTTGTCAGGTGAGGTAGTGCTGAGGTAGTGCTTGTCAGGTGTCTATGTGATAAAGTGACTGTTTTATGCCCCCTTTCCAGCCTGTCCTCTTTGGAAGAAAGTCACGATGTGCAGTCCATGCTTCAGGAGTGGGCAGTTATGCTACATTTTCTACAAGTGGGAGTGTCTGCATAAACTGAAATTTAACACTTGTCTATCCTTATTTGTGTAATTAAGAAATCATTTACGTTTCTCAGTATGGACTCGTGGTATTTTTATTACACTTTGGGTTAAAATCCAATACAGCTTTATATATTTTCATTTTCAAATTGTTCTCGGATTGGCCATTGGGAACTCTTCCTGTAAACTCCCTTTGTATATACCTTTGGAAATACCCCTGGGAATGTTGCTTCCTTTTTTGAAAGTTTTTTGAGCACTTCTTTTTTTTTTTTTCCACACTGTACAAGATACTCCAGGCTCATTTTCCGTATTTTCTGTCCCAATTCTAGAGTCATAAATTTTTCCATGGAGCCCTTGTTCCTTTTATTGTCAAATGTTATTGACAAAACTCAATCTGTGCCCTAAGTGTGCTCATTGGTACTGAAGGGTCATTGCTTCTGGGCACCCATTGGTTGACAGGGCAAAGAATTATATGTGTATTTTTTATCCTGTGTTTATTTATATATCTAGAAATATTTTAGATGGTAATCATTTTGTGGATATGACACCAGAAACACAGGAAACAAAAAAAGAAAAACATAGATTAATTGGACCTCATCAAAATAA